TATATATATATGATCATCTCTTTTTTACATAGGGAAGATATGATCCAAGACTCCCAATGAATCCCTGAAACCATGGATGTCGTTGATCCCTTTTTATGCTGTTTTTCCCGTACATACAAAGTTTAATCTATGAACAGGTGCTCTAAAAGATTAATAGTAACTAATAGGATAGAGCAAATATAACAGTGTACTCATTAAAGTTATGTGAATGTGATTTATTCCCTCTCAAAAATACCGTATTGTATCATATTCCCTGCCCTTACAGTACTCGAGTGTGCTCTGAGGGATACTTCCAGAATACACTGCTGGCTTCTTTTTGGGGCATCCAAACTGCAGTAAGGGTCACTTGACAAAATGTTGCAGAACCAGGCCAGTTGACATGATGACCAGTTGACTCCTGTCTGTAAATGACTAGTGAGTGGGGTGGTTCACGTCTCAAGATGGGCAGGACAGCTCAAACTTTTGTCGCACTCTTCAGAGTAGCATAAGATTTCAGACTTACAAGCTGCTATTTTTCTAGAGCTTTCTGTTTACTATTTTAAATAGCTGGAGTAGACTGTGCACTCTAAGGTCAGTTTGTACTGCAGGTAGATAATGTCAGAAATGAATCAAGCTGTGCAAAACCTGCTGGTGTCAGAGCTGGTTTCAGAATCCAAACTGCTCTGCCTGATAGGATAAACAAAACTTGAGGTCTGACTCAGGTGCAGGGTCCTCTGTGTTCTTACCCTAGTAGGCATCAATAACAGCTTTTTAAAGACTAAGTGGCATACCCTGGCCTGGTGTCAGGAATCTTGTGCATCTGCCCAGATTTGCACATGCACTGAGTCATAGGTTGATTAAAATATACAGCAATACTTTTGAGTACACTGAGACCACATATTTATCACTTTAAATCTATTGCATTGAGGTTTGGTGTCTCTTCCTGCTTGAGTGTACCAAGAGTAAAGTGTTATGCATCATTTATGCATGTGGCTTTGTAGGGAATTGGCCCACACCTGAGAACCCGCCTTGGTGCAGGCTGGTGTGCTGGCCCACCACTGCTGGCTGCCCTGAGCTGGAGTGTGCCATGCTAGTCAGGTCCTAGCTGTTTGGTTCTGGAGCACTTGCTCACAGAGCGGCATGAAGGTACTGTGGAGGCTAGCGGCAGCCCTGCTCTGACAGGTGTGGTCCTGCAGGAAGAAGGATCAGGATCCACAGAACCAGCCACATGCAGCCCTGAGCAGGTGCATGTTCTCATACCTGCTTCTGACTCCTGCCACTGGAAAACTAAAACCAGGTTAGGAATTTTAAAGGTTACTTTTGGACTTGTGGAAGTATTTATAGTGAAGTTATAACTTTTAAAAACATGTCCATAACTTTGAGGAGAGTTTTCACTTTTCCACAATGAGCATTCATTTACTTTCATGACAAAGGCCTTAAGTACTTTCTGTTTCTGCATTGAGGTTTCTTTCTGCGCTCTGGTGAGGTTCTGGGGAACTGTGGCATTGTTTGTGACCCAGTATTCAGGCCATCTCCCCCTATCCCCCACCCCCATGGCCCTGTTCTTAAGAAGGCCTGCAGTGGCTGAATGGTTGGAACGATGCCTGGTGCATCCCAGTTGTTCTCCTGACCCCCAACATACCCCATATCGGACACGTAACAATTTTGAGTCCAGAAAGGGGTTCTGGTTGGTGGGAGAAGAGCTGAGCAACAGCAGTATTGAGTTCCCCAAGTGATGCCCAAGTAGCCTTGTGCTGCAGCCCCGATGCCTTCTCCAGAGACCACGTTGTTGCTTTCTGTCCTTGGAGTTTGAACAGGGGTTTACAGGGCTGGGCATTACCCATTTCTCACACAGTTGGCCTGGTGCTATCTCTGTCCCGCACTGACATTCTGTCTCTGCAAACTCTGCAGCTGCCCCTTGAAGCTGCTCCTTTCTCCTTAAGCCAACTACAAGTGACTATTTGGTCAGGCCTTACTGGCACATAAACTGTCATGGGGTGTTTTGTCAGAAGTAGATTTCAAAACAAAGTGTGGTTTCTGGAAATGTGGCTGGTCTTCCTTCTTGCATTTCTGTTTGGGAGAATGTAGACCACCTTGGGCAGTCTAAGCACAGCCTGTACCCAGCATAGGTGGTGGGCAAGTTCTAGTCTGATTTTCTCGGTGAGTCTGAATAGACAGGACAGTTCTGAATACAGCCTATTGATGGGTTAAAAGTCTGTGATTCCTGTGAGGCACCGCCAGGGCATTTTCTCCAAGGGCAAGCGTCTGGAGCACGCTCCCTCTTGCTGCCCTGCTGCCCGTGGCAGCTCTGGGCCCTGACCTCTAGACGCCTGCCTGCCTGCCTGCCTGCCTGCCTGCCTGCCTGCCTGCCTGCCTGCCTGCCTGCCTGCCTTCCTTCCTTCCTTCCTTCCTTCCTTCCTTCCTTCCTTCCTTCCTTCCTTCCTTCCTTTTTCTTTCTGGGGCGAATTTTAGAGAAGGGTCTACAGGGTGTTCAGGGTCTCACTACTAGATCCGACTCTTAGTGATTCTCCTGTTTACAGCCTCCCAAGAGCTGGGTTACAGGCGCCCACAATCAGGCCCAGTCTCAAATCATGTGCCCTGGGAACGGGGCCAGCATGACAGGCCCAGGGATTGAACCCCTGGCCCCTGACCCTGCTTGCAGGTGCTTTAATCTGCTGAGCTATTTGGCTGGCCTCTGACTGCATTTCTGTTAGCATCTAGACCCAGCTCTCTGTCTTTATCATGTGACCTTTCAGTTTCTGTGGGAAAGCCCACTTCTGATAAACCCAAGTAGATACAAGGTGATTGCTAGATACAAGTAAACCAAAATAGCTAAGCCCAGTGCCCTTAGGCCAAGAATTAGAGTTTGTTATATCTTAACTGGGGACTGTTTTGATTATTCTACAAAGACCCTTTCATTTTCTCTAACAAATAAAAATAATCCATGATGAAATTAAAACTGTCCTCCTCAAAAAGAAAGAAAGGCACATGCGTTTCCGTTGCTTGCCTAGAGGTCTTCCTTGCTGACGCGTACTGTAGAGCATTTTTGCTGAAATGCACAATTTCTGAAGCCAGTGCTTTCTCTGTTCTCCAGATGGTCTTTCTGGCCGAGACCAGCCAGTGGAGCTGCTGAACCCTGCCCGCGTGAACCACATGCCCAGCACGGGTAAGTCCACACATGCCACCTGTGGTTTGAGGCCCTGCTTTGTCGGGGGAGTGTGGTGAGAAGGGGTGAGGTGTGGGCTAGCGGGCTTCTTGCATTGTGGATGCTCTTAACCTGGGGTCAGAGAGGTCTGTCTCTGAAGATAAAGGGGACCTTGACTTGCTGCAGTCTAAGTGGGAGAGAAGCACTGATCTAAAGGATATGTACTGCTCAGAGACCATGGCCTGTTTTAACTTTAAGTCCAGGCACTGGTCCAGTGGGAAGAGTTCTGAGCTTGTATGGGCTCCAGCCTGTGGTGTGGCCAAGCTGCTCACCAGCCTCATGGCCTTGGGCAGCTCACGTGATGGCCCGGGGCCTTTGGATTCTGTTGGTCAACTGAGCCAGAGATTGCTGTCTGTCAAGCACCTGTTTTTTAACAAAAAAAAATTAAGTATAATTATAAATCTCCCTACAGATGATATTTCTAAATATTACACTTGAAGCAGTATTGACTAAGTCTGTACGAATGGAGTTACTTTTTGTTTTCTTCTGTAAAACCCCTTCCCTTGTGTAGACTCCTTCAGGTCTTGAACTCAGAGCATGAGCTCCTTTCTTCTAGGCCCTAGGTCTTAGGATAAAGTCTGGATCTCCTGTAGACCCAGGGCTAAGGGAGTTGTAGTGCTTGCCTCACACATGTGCCATGGCCTTCTCTGATGGCCCGGTCTCTGCTCTTTGTTCGCTTGCCACACCCCCTTTGGCAGCGCAGCCCCTGTGCCCTTGAAACCAGGGCACCAGACCTTCCCCAACCCCCTAAGAAGTGAGAGCTGGTGAGGAGTTGTCTCTTCTCGGAGGTGGACCAAGGGTCCTCCCGGCAGTTCTCTCTGCGCCCTCAGGTGCCCATTTCCTTCCTGGGACCTGCTCTCTGCCTCTGCACTCCTCTCCAGTTCTCGCCCTCACAGACAATGGACTAGCCCACACAGGAGCCTGCCTCGGGCAGCTTTACATAACCGAGAGAAGCTCTCAGTTTTAAAAGTGAGTTCACTTTGCCTTGCCTGTGTTATTTATGTTTCCACAAGGCCTTGTGTGGGCTGGACATTGTGAGGCTTCCCGGTCTCCAGTGCTGATGTGGAAGAGAGCTTTTCAGATGGCTTGATGGCCTGTGAGAAGACAGTAGATAGGTGGTGTTTCCACGCAAGACAGAAGAGATGGCATGGATGTGTATCCTGCTGGCTAAGAGAGCCCTAACCCCCACCATAGTGTGCAGGTGGGCCCTGGACCTCAGTGTCAGCCGCAGCACGTGCTGGTTCTTGCTGGCCTCTCTGCAGAGTCCTCACAAGGATCAGATGCATATGTCAGCTTTTATATGTGTCAAGTGTGTGTGTGTCAGTGGTTCCTCGATGAACATTTCTTATTGTCACTTTAACTGGTATTGAAAATAGTGTAGAAAGTAGCTGTGGTGTGCCATTTCAAGATCCAAACCTTTGCTGTCACTTTTTACCCTTTCTCTCCTCTGAGGAACCATCCAGCTTGGGGGTTAGGGAATCAGGAGGGGCCCCTGTGAACTGGTGGTCCTCGTACTCCTTGTGGCTGGGCTCTCATGGGTTGGTCACAGGGCAGTCTGTTTCCTGATGTTGATTGCATATATTGGCATCCTTGGGGATCGAAGTGTTTGCAGCATCTGTGGCGCTAGGCGCAGCCAGCAGGGCATGTGGCATGTAGAACCCCCATCGTGGTGCCTACATGTTGGCATTGCCCTGGCACACTGGCGGGCAGGCGCTCCAGCCGTGGGAGGCCGGTGCAGAGTGCTTGAGGAGGTGCTCCTCTCCAGTCACAGACTACTTTAAAAGTTGATCTGAGAATGTCTAGATATGAAAGTGGAAACATTTTTGGTGTATATTTAATGTCAGTCCCAGCTTATACATTTTCTAGGAGTTGGATTTAATCCCTCCCATTCTTTTTACACTTGAAGGCATGAAACAAACAGAAAATAGCACAGGAATTGCTTCGGTTGGAGCCTGTCTCGTGTACAGACACACTTTCCCATGAACGTGAGCAGTGCCCAGATGGCCTCACTGCCCGGCGGCCGTTCTGTTACGAGCAGTGCTCCTCAGAGCAGGCTGCCTGATTGTTGCACTTTTTAAATACTCTTACCTTCTAACAGAGTTTCACTTCAAATGAAGAAGCTTTACCTGTGTCTTCTGCTTGTGTGCTCTCTTGGATTGACACTTCAGTGCCATCAGGAAAGCATATCTCTTCGTTGGAAAAAAATCTGTGCTGGATGAAAATGCGATTTGTTTGGGATTAATCCTGTTTTTTTCCCACTTCCTTCTTATATGTAAATAAGACTTTGTTTTTTCTGTATTCCTGTTTTTGATTGTTTAAAAAAAATCTTAGGGCTGTGATATAACTCAGTGGGAGGGTTCTTGCCTAGCATATGCAAGACCCTGCGTTCAATTCCCAACATCACACAAAGAAATTAACTGTAAAGTAGTTCTAAGATAAAGAAAAAAGAAAGGCAACACATGTTCATTTGCCTTTTGAGCAGATTTATAAACTTACTAGTATTTTTTGTAAAAAAATGAAATATTGCCATCAGGATCAGGCTCTGCTGTCTCCTCTCCCACTGTGTCTATGTCTGGTCAGGTAGAGGTGGGCAGCCCCAAGTGGGGGCTCAGGACAGGGGCAGAGTTGGCACGGCTGTGCTGGTTTGAGGGTGCCCTCGTGGACTGCGGCTCTTGCCTGTGCCCAGTGTTGCCCACAGAGCTAAGAGGCAGTGTTCTCAGTCCAGAGTGTGGCGGGAGAAGAGGCGCTAGGTCCTGAGGACAGAGGACAGGGCAGGCAGTCGGCGGCAGGGGTGTGAGCTCCATCCAGGCCAGCAGAACACCACTCTGGGATCACCAGCCCACCGCGTCAGAGGCTCAGTGTGGAGAAGCCCAGATGAGCTGTAAGCCATTTGTTTCTGGATCGTTGTGATTCGTTACATTTCCCTGATAAGAGGATACATACTTTTTGTAGGGAAGCGGCCCTGCTGTGCACTGAGCACTCGTCTCCAGCACTGTGGGCACACCCACCCCCAGCTGGACGGTGCAGGTGCTGTTGACCTTGGGCGAGCTCGTGGAGAACATGCAGGCACCAGGAGAGGAGCACAGAACCCAAATAACTGTAGGACGCATGTCCGAAGCCCTTGCTGGAGACTGACTTGTGTCATTGCTTGTCTCCAGGTGGAGGAAGGCAGGGCCCTGAGGTCCAAGGGCTTTGTCCAGGGCCACTCAGCATAGCAATCATGGGGTGAGGATCCATTTCTCTCAGGGTTATGCTACTAGGGTAGACACCTTTAGAAACACTGTGCTGTTCTATCATGGGAGGAGAGAAGCGAGGCCCCTTGTCCCCGAGACAGTGCTGTGCTGCCGAGTGTCTTCCACAGCCCAGGACCCTGGCAAGCCACACCTCTTGTTGTGTACCCATGAAAGTATCTATCCCCCCATGACCTTATTTTTAAGGTTTCACAACAAAAGCACAACTTTTAAGAGAAAATTCTGAATCCTTAAAAAAAGGGGAGAAAGTCCAGAAATGGAAAAGAACGTCTCTAAAATAGCAGGAAGTTATTACTTTGGTTTAGCTGTGGACTCCCAAATTGCAGAAGAGTATGACCCACACCCAAAAGGGTGGTCACTGGGCTTCAAGACGCTGCACTGGAATTTGGGCAGGAGCTGCTGAGGCTGTCAGGGATCTGGAACCTCAGTGGCTGCTGCCTAACTGAATGAGAGGCCTGAATCCCATACAGAATGAGGGTGTGTGTACGGGGAGGCTCAGCGAGCCCCTGCTGGCACCGAAGCCCAGGGATTACTTGGATACTTGCCGCTCTGCACACAAAGCTGTGGTTGTAGTCCTCATGTTCTCTTCTCACCCCTTGCCCTGTGTCTCCACACGCAGCTGGAGTCCCTGGCCTGGGGCAGGGTGGTGAGAAGGACTAAGGGTGACCTTTGCTGGTTCCTAAGCATGGTCCCTCTGCAGCTCTGGCACAGGGGAGGACAAAGAGCACTTACTTCAGCTCCTTGCTGAGGGGCCATCTCGACTCCTGGAACTCATGCTGTCCCCCAGTTGCCCTTCCTGGTGACTGCTCCTGTGGTTCCCAGGCTGACAACAGCAGTGTGCTGGCACAGGAAGAGGCACACAGCCTGTACCCACTGACCACCTGGTCCTCCCTACCAGCATAATATACTTCCTGGTTGGCTTTTTTGTTGATTGATTCAAGAGTTTCTTAGTTGCATTTTATTTTTTGAATGAACAGTGAAATAAGAGAATAGGACTCATTTCCTTTAGGTCATCCAGCTTAAGTTTTGTACACACATGCCCTTCCCGCTGCTTTGACTCTTTGGAGCAACCATTTCTCTCTCTGGCTGTTTCCTCGCCACCACCTGGGAAAAGGCCTTGGCTCTTGGGAGCTCACAGAGACAGTTCCAGCTCAGCTGTGGGCCATGGGCAGCGTCTCCGATGGACACAAATGCACAACGTCTCTTGTCCTTCTTGCTCACGTGGTGAGGTGTCCATCCGTGCCCTGCCCTTTGGGCTTGTTTGTGCTCATATTGACAGAAGCCCCCAGTGCTCCCTCATGCCCGTGTACCTCACTGGAGAACTGCGGCTGGCACCGCTGGGCCGTGACTCACGTTTGCCCTCTGTGCCTCTGTAACCTGCCTTCGGGCTTATAGTCCTGCTGACACTGGGGCGGAGGATTGTGCTCTGGGCTGTCCTCCTGCTCTGGGTCTGCCTTGTGTTCATCTTTGGATGTGTCTTCCCTCCTCTGGGGGCGCAGCACTGTGTCCTCCAAGGTACAGTCTTCCTTCTGGGATAACCGCCCTGTGCTGGCGGGTGAGCATGCTGTCTGCTCATCTTTGGGAGCGGGGCCTCTGTGAGACTGTGGGACTCATGTAGTCCTCGGAGCTGAGGCCTCAAGGCCTGCTTCTGCCTGTATCTTCCTGGGTCTGCTGAAGCTGGATGCCCGCACCTAGGGCAAGGACGCAGCT